CTAAGGCGGTTTAATAGTTTTGCCATTGTAATCGATGTTTTCAAATTTAGTCAAGTTTTGTACGTAGAATGGTATAAGGATGTTTCTAGAATCATCTAGTGATAGTGACGACGATTTGTTTTTCCTAATAAGTGCAAGTTTACTTCATATTAAACAAAGAAGAAGAAGAAACGCAGGTATTGGATACATTCTATAGTAAATGAATGAAAAAATAAAGGAACTTTTTACACGTTAGTTAACGAATTTAAAGATGGCCCAGAAAAGCATCTTTAGAAATAAAACTGTGGTAACCTCTTCCCAAGTTTATTTTTTTCGAATAATTATCTGAGCGCATATCCCAAATTGCAGGCCGTGTGTGAATTTCGGTAAATAATTGATCGATGTCTACAGCCTCCATAATAAATACAAAATTTGGCAAACACTCACAAAAGTAACCAAATAAAACCGCTGCAAAACAGTCACACGTCTGTGTTGAAGCACGAGATATCTATTAGTGATGTGCCTCCGGAAGTCATAAAACCGGCGACGGCGCATGATACTCAGCATAGGCCGCATGGCGGCCGACGCGATGAGCTGACGAACGACGGCTCGTCTGTGTTGCACCGCTCTGTATGTGTTTAACCTTAGTAGTGACAAAAAAATTGACAAAATTGCAGAAATGGTAGTAAACCTACTTCTTCGACAGTGTTTATCTGTTGAATTAGTCAAATGACAGTACCCTGAGTGTTGGCTAAAAACAAATTTCATTCATACAAATTAAAATTGTGCACCAACTTTCAGATGATGACCCCACCCGAAGATAGAATTCTGTGAAAATATGTAAAATAAAATTAACCAACGGCCAGATTACATAAATCATTTTGTTTTAGCGACGAAAAATACTTTTTCCCCAAATGGAATTGTGTAACCCACACAATGTAAGGTATTGGAGTGACACGTCTCTTCCGAGTCTTCTTCCAAATACTTCTTCCCTCAAAGGAGTTGTTAACTCACACAATATAAGGTATTGGAGTGACACAAATCCGTACGTTTCTTCCGAGTCTTCTTTCAACTTAGCAATTCAACTTAGCAATTTGGAAATAAAAGTGAAGCTTTTGATCGTGTAAATCACGACATTTTGATAAAAAAACCAAATTTCTACGGAATTCGAGGTATTTCTTTAAATTGGTTATAATCTAACTTGAGGAAAAGGAAACAACTAGTTAGAGCAAATGATACAGACTCTAGTCACAAAAGCATTGTATGTGGAGTACCAAAAGGTTCATTATTGTATCCTCTACTTTTCCTTATATTTATAAATGACATCACTAAGTTAAAAATCGATGGAAATTTTTTTCTTTTTGCTCATGATACCAGTACTGGATCTACTTAAAATAAAAACCTGGTCCGACACTAATTTACTCTCTTTTAACGTGGATAAGACAGTAGCATTATCCTATAAAAGAGCTCTTCAATCCTTGCTTATTAATAACAGCCAAATCAGTATGGTTGATTCTGTAAAATTTCTTGGTATTTTTATAGACAGCAACCTTAAATGATTCCTTTTTTTGTTAAGTAAGAAACTAGCCTCAGTCTGCTATGCAATAAGATCTGTTTCGAAGTAAATCAATTTAGCATATTCCAAAATGACATATTTTTCTTTGTTCTAGGGAAGCAAAGCTAAGGATTTTCAAAACTAAATCCGAAGTAGGGAAGTAAATACTTCCGGTTTCATAATTCTGAATTCAATCAGTAAGTATAAGAAAAAATTAGACGCGGTCATATTGCAAAAATACATTGAAAATTAGGACTGTAAATTTTGAAGAATGAAACCTGTAAAATTCTATACTTTACTATAGGAAAAATTCATTTTATGGTCACCATTTTTAAACCGGTTCGAATTTTTTAAATTTGAAACCTTAGGGGGAATCTACTCAACAATCTGTTTAATTATTCGAAAAAATTATTCTCCTATTTATCATCGTTTAGGAGAAGAAGAAAAGGGCTTAACCTTTTAGTATATAAGATATTATATTCGGCAAAAATCTGCAGTATAACCGTTAAAAATATAGAAAGGGGACTTTTGGCTAGCATTGTATATTAGAAAATTATTATAATCATGATGATTTAAACGGGTCTATTTTTTGAATTATTTTTGTGTGGTAAATCGAAAAAATCAGTAACAGTTCCTGAATTGCAGCAATAAATTGTAGTGCTCTCTATGGAGCTTTCGAAATGTTGTAATTAAAAAACAATAAACCTGTATCAGATAAAGTCCCATTAAATCCCAAAAACATATTAAATTTAAATTACAAACAAATTTATTTGTCTCCAATCTAAGCGTTTTAAACAGTTTATGCAAATAGTATTATTTTGGAAAAGTATTTGAATGGATTTACTTTATTAAAGAATTGTTCTAATGGTGGGGGTTTTAAAAGAAATTTTGATGAAGAGTTTTGAAAAAAATTGGAGCAGTACTGGTCCATGTAAGGGATTGGTTCCAAAAAGTTACAATGATTTATCCTTTAGGAAAGTTGTCTACACAACTACTCACTACAAATCCAAAGTCCAATACTTCCACAGAGCTAATATTAGAAATTGTTATCATTATACTATTGTAGTAGGCACTTATGTTATGGTAAATAAATGATAAGATATAATAGACCCGATAAGATTAAATTCCACAAACTAAGATATCTGATAGGAATTTTTGATCAACATTGTCAAGATCTTTGGGGAAATACGCTTGCGTTATCATCTCTGATTAAAATATAAGAAAGAACATTACTAGTTTGGAATCTTAAATGCTTAGAACAAAAAGGAAAGCACAAAACACATTCTACAGTTAGTCTTACTTTTTTGTAGCAAGATTTTAGCAAAATTTATTCTATAAGTTTGATGGCACAAAGGTATGAAGTATATATAAGCTTCTCTGTTTAAAAGAAACTTGTTTATTGATGACCACAATTTCTGACGTAATATGACATTCGAAAAAACACTGAAGGTGAAATATATGCATAGTAATGTTCATATTCATTGTTGAAATATCTCATACCCGTATATAAAAAAGTTAATTTAAAATTCAAGGTTCATTTTCTCGAGAAAATTTGTTGCAAATCCAGTTTTAGGCTACAAGCAGTTTTTTATACAATGCTATTTCAAGGTCGATAATGTATTTAAATAACCTAGTCTTATTTCTTTCAATATAGTATGTTTTCTTCTGTAATATCTACAAAAGTATACACTTATCTCCAGTAAAGTAAGCAGATGCTCCAGTGAGTATAAAAGCTATTGATTATGTCCAAAAAAGAGGCTAAAAGGAACTATAACAAAGCTTAAAGAGGTTTTATTGTTTCATATGGTCAATGAACCATATGAAAAAACACCGCGGAGTGCTACCATTTAAAGGGGTGCTTTAAACCATTTTGAGTTTGTTTTTTATCTAAAACAGGGATGTCCATTTTTATGGACGTTCAAGTTTTAGACGTCTTGAAACGCCAATAAATTATTTAAAACTACAATTGTAGCTTTAATTCTCGAATACAACAGTAAATTATATAAAATATATTAGACTTTTTTGTTTCAGCTGTCTTTGGTAATAAAACATATTTAAGACTAGAAGTTGACCATGAAAGACTTCTTGAATGTCTGGAAAATTCGGATATAGACGTTTCAGATTCTGAAAACTCTGATGACGGCTTTGATCCAAATGAATAATTGTATCAGCCTCAGCAATTAGATTTGGCTCAATATACACATGATGACCAAGACACAGAAATATCATCCGAAGATGAATTAGATAACGTGCTGCTCAATGAACGGAAAAAAGGCATGAGAACCGAAATACATAAAACAAAATGAGTGTTTTTTGTCACTCAGCATGTAAACTTTAGTGAAATTTTCGATACAGTTCAAAATTTGGAAAGTTGAAAACTACGTCGGTATGTATTTTGATCAGATTTTGAGAATATTGCAAAAGATTTTGAGAATATATAAAAAGTCAACAGTATTGCACACGCCATGACACGTGATAGATATTTTCAAATCAGAAGCAATTTACAAGTCGTTAATGACGCTGATCGCAAGTTGTTAGTGCCTCAAGATCAAAGAAACGCTGACAAAAACCAAGTCACAAAAGAGGAGGTACATACTCTACTAAATGAATAAGAACCGAGATGTACTGACCTCCCATCAAATCTCTAAAGTTACAATTCTTCGGACATATTATGCGAAATGAATCCAGATATGCTCTCATTCAAGCCATCCTGCAAGGAAAAATATTTGGAAAACGAGGTCCAGGAAGAATCTGGTTCAATACTACATCTGAGCAGCTTTTCCGCGCTACTGCAGATAAGATAAATATTGCCATGAAGATTGCCAACATTAAGGAATAAAAAATTTATTTCAGCAGAATGATGATCATGTTAAGAAGTTAGTTAGGTGTTGGTTCATCCACAGTTATTAAGTTACTTAAAACATTATGAGAAGGAACACATGTATTCATTGATAGATATTTCACCACCTTAGTTTTACTTGTGAAACACAGTGTATGTGAAACAAAAATATTTTTTTAAATGGTACAATAATGAGATCCAGAATACCTAAAGCAGTTCATGTAACATCGGATAAGGTGATGAGTCGATTAGGTCGTGGTTATTCTGAGCAAGATGTAAGATCTGATGGAAAAATTAACATAATCTGATGGTACAATATAAAATCAGTTATGCTAAGCGTCAACTGCGTTGCAAATAGAACCTTCAGATGAATGTAAGCGATGGTCAAAAAGAACTCCCGGTATGTTGAGGTACCTAGACCAAACATTGTGGAGTCAAACAATGTGGAAGCAACGAATCCATGGGGGAACAGGTTTAATTCACAGGATAATCAGTTATTATTTGACCTTGCGATGGACCACAGGAGTGATGACGCACATTTATTGACATCATCGTAAGTTTCACTTTCCAAACAAACCGTATTTAGTGTGGATAATTTGTATTTTTCGTTATTTTTTCATTTTTTTTATAGAATCTTTCCGCTTTTTGCAATATTTATGTATTATATATGTAGTTACTACAACAATTTTACAAGGTTGTGTAAATAACAAAGCACATTGTTTTATGCTAATAGCAATAAAATGCATGTATCAATAAAGTAAGGTTAGAATTTCTTTAATTTAAATTTTTAAACTATATTTCATAGAAATTGAACTCTGAATTATGATTGTATTAACGTAAAAAACACTATACTTACAAGAAAAAGCAACAGAGGAAGCAAAATGTTAACTTTATAGAAATTAAAATGTCTTGAGATTTGACATTTCAACTTTTGTTTGGAAAGTAATAATGACAATGTGACAGTCGTGACGTCACACTCCTGCTGTACATTGCCAATTCTGGATTCTATACAGAGATGGCCATAAACATGGTGACGCTAGTAAAACTGTTATGAAGTCCCTGGAGTTTAAAGTAGCTGTTTCTGAGTTGCTCCTTAAAGATAACATTTCTGAAAATTCTGATTTTGGGAAGATTTTATCACTGCTAACTTGTAGAAACAGTTACAAACCTAGAACATTACTTCCAACGTCTACTAAGAGAAAGATACAACACATTCCTGCAATGGCATCCGAGTTAAAAAATTCTGTTAGATGTAAGGGTAAAACAAAAGTTTTTAGTACATGTAAAGACATATTCTTATGTTTAACGAGAAATAGCAAATGCTTTAAACAATTTCATTTACAGTAATTTTGTATTGATGCGATCCTGATGTCCTTTTGAATGGACAAGTTTTTTTTCCACATTTAGTAAAAAAATAAAATTTAGAAATATTTCCATGTGTTTTTATATTAAAAATCATACGAATTCTATTACTTAATAAAAAAAAACCAACAAAAAAGTTCAGGTCCGGTCTCAGGATATGAATGATCTTATTATGAGTTTCTACTAACGATAAAAGATAAGATAATTGTGATCAATGTTAAAAATAAATCCCATTTCTTTTCTTTAGTTAAATAATTAAAATCTCCTTGAAAATGTGATTGAAAATGAGATGTGATGATCGAAAGTTACGTGTCATCGTTTGTAAAACAAAAACATTATAATTATTTGAAATATTTGCCTTCTGTTCGCCAAATGAGTATAACCAAGCCATGTAACAACATCTCATACCTGATAAACTTATAAATAATCACCTTATTCTTACGTTACGTCATTCGTTTTTTATTCTATCACAGCTCAGAATGCGTTTCCACTAGATATCCAGTTCTGCAGCGGGCATTTTTGGAATGTGCACATCTCAATACCAATGCTTTAATTTTTCATCATACAATTTTTGAAAATTAATCACAGGAAATTTTCACAAATCCAGAACAGTCGCTATATTTAAATTTATTCGAGGCATTAATATTGTTAAAATTATATCAAATATACAAAAAAAGCTTGCTTTGGGAAGATATACCAAACTGTTTATAATGGCTCAAAGTCGAGCATTAGACATGGATATATTGTATCGCCATATTTTGTTCGAATTAATGGAACCATTGTGACATTACTCACAGTTGGCAACACTGTTCACACATTTACAACTTACCAAGCACTGAAAACATAATTCTACTTTTCTCTGCCTTTTATTTGACCGTGTTTTAGGACATTTCCCACCAAGTTTGTGTTGATTTGTACTATTTTGTGTTGTTTTCTGTAATTAATGAGTTTATATTATGCCTAGGAAGTGTGAAAAGATTATCATTTTAATGTGAACACACTTCTATGTCACAAAGAAAAATCGCAAGAAGGTGTGGAGTGATTCACGGGGTAGTAAGCAAGATTTTGAAGTGTTAACGAGAAACGGGATCAAAAGATGTGAGAAGGTTAGGAAAATGCGAACGAGAGAGAAAAACAACATCAACAGATGAAAGATTTTTACTTCAAAAGAGCAAATTGGACCCAAGAAAAACAATCTAATAATATCTAGCAGCATCAGGTGTAGTGATTTATGACTCAATTGTTCGGAAAAGACGTTTGGAGAATGGTGGAAGGACGATACATTCACAGGAAAAACAGCTTCTAACCGAACTAATGAAGAAACAAAGGCTATTGTGACCAAAAAATACTCTAATTAGACTGTAGACCACTGAAGAAAAGTACTATTTAGAAATGAAACTAACTTTATAGTTCAGGGACAGCGGTCGAAATTCATCAAAAAGTCTGACAATGAAAATCTTACACCATCTCATATTGATCAAACCGTAAAACATCCAGTCAAAAAAATGTTGTGGGATGTTTTTCATACATGGGGGTTGGATGTTTGGTACCAATCGAAGGCATCATGAACAGCCAAAAATATAAATCAGTTGGAACAGCGTTTTGACGCAGAAGTCCAAAAATGTCAGCCTCAAGAAGGAGCGATGCTTCAACAGGACTCTGCTCTTTGTCACAAGCCAAAGCAAACGTTGGAATTTTTCAAAAATAAGAAGATTAATGTTTTAGATTGGCCCGGTAATTCGCCAGACTTCAACCCAATTGAAAAGTAATGGCCATATGCAAAGCTAGACTAGGCAAAACCGACTGTACTACAAAAATAAAAATGATGGGCGCGTTTATTCAGGTTTGGTTTCGAGGTGAAAGCTTTACCTTAATAGATTTATCAAAATATTGTTTTTCTAAATAAACTTTTATTAAAACAGTCTATGATTCCGTTAATTCGCTCAGTACTCAATCTATAGAATTATTCAATGAAATATTGGATACTGGGGCAATTCCGAAAGAATAGCTAATATCTGTATTGATCCCAATACCCAAAAAACCCAACGCAATAAAATGTGAAGAAAATAGAACGATCAGCTTGATGAACAAGTCTTCTTACGAGCGATGCATGAACTACAAAAAACTAGATGATGAAATATCACGAAACCAACTGGGATTTAGAAAAGCTTTGACACTAGAGAGGCATTAATTACTGTACAAACACTGATAACGGTGTCAAGATGTCAACTGTGATCTATTCATATGTTTAGTTGACTTTGAGAAAGCATTCGACAAAATACAATACATTAGACTTGCAAACGTATTACGGAAAACAGAAATCAGAAGCCATAATACGAGTAGATCAACAAAAAACTAAAGAAATAGAGGACGAGGAGCGCGACAAGGATGTGTACTGTACCCTTTACTTTTTAATATTATGTGCTTAGACGTAATGTTTAAAGATGCACAACCAGACAAGAAGATGTACATGAAGGCATATTGATAAGATAATGTAATAGCGCGATATATGGAAAGACTTTTGGAAAGCATATATCCATCAATGTAGTACTTAAGATGTTGGAAAATAATAAGATTGTTTGTTGATAAGATTGATTGTTTTGTTCACAGAGCTCAAAGACTAATAAAAAACACACCCGAAATCTAACAATTAAATTTGACAAGCAATTATTTTGTATATAAGAGAAAAAACTTTACTTTTCGTCGGTAATAATAACTTAGTCTTTATTAATGCCTTCAAATAATTTATATAAAAATATATAATAGATTTCTGGAGTTGTGTAAAACTTAAATTCTTCTCAAAAACCAAAACAGTAAACAAGTGAAGTCGTGTATAAATATGTGGATAAATATTATGGATTCTGTATCCAAAGGTATTCAGTAGAGTAACTGAAGCGTTGCCCCTATGAGAAAGAATATTTTACCATCTTTTACAGATTCTTCTGTTACTAGATCGAGCCATAATCAGCAAAAATAATTAATGTAATCCAGAATCTCATGAATGGAGAGAACTAGCGAAATAGTTAACATAAGTTTCCTATTTTGTTTGAAACAAAACAAAAAATATGTCATTCAATCTAACTGGACGCAATGAGGAAGAATGACAAAAAACTGATTGGTAGTAATAGATGACACTCAAAATTTGCGTAAATCGTATATTTGTACACAACTCCACTGTACTGCTTTGTATAAAAAATTCTAGCTATCTAAAGGAACGCGTTTCACCTAACATGCCACAATCCGAGGTTAAGTACACTCAATTGAGGCAATTTCATTACTTTTTCAAGTCCTACGGTGGTTATTCTGGTACAACCATACAAATCTATACATTTTAACCTAGTAAGCGCTTCAGCTATGTTCGTTAAACCTTTATCAGTCACTCTACTACACTGTCCGATATTTAACGTCTCAAGATCGTGCAGCGTATTCGAAATTTTAGCTAAACCTTCATCCGAAATCTGGCACGCACTAAGTGATAGACTTTTCAGGTTAAAGAGTCCCTGCGAAATGTGCACTAAAGCTTGATCTCCTATTTTGTCACAAAAAGAGACGTCTAAAGATGATATCCTAGAACCTCCCTCGGCTAGATAGGCCATGCCTATGTCAGAGATATTATCACAGGAACGAAGGTTTAGTTCACGAAGATTGGTCATTTTGGCTAGATGTTTTAGTCCGCTGTCGGTAATGCTGATGCAGAAACTCAAATTTATAGATTTTATGGAGGTTAGAGCTGCTGCATACTTCAGGGCTTCGTCGGAAAGTCTTTGGCAGTCTTGGAGTCCTGAAACAAAAGAGAATATATTGTAAAAACATGCAAGTACAATTCATGTTAAAGTAAACTTGTCATTTTTCTCTAAATGGACATGATACAGGGTTGGTAGTCAAAAAAATAAACATAATATTTGTAGCGCTGCGTAGTATGGTCACTCCACCTGTTTTAAGGAACGTTTTTACTGGAGCGTCTGTTGGGTGAGCTTGTTTATGTTCAGAATGATAGTATATAGCTTGTTCATATATATGCTCAGAATGATAGCTCGGGAGTAATTTGGCGCCATGCTTGTCTTATTTCTTGACGCTCGTGAAGAGGAATATCTTCTAGCAAATCGGGTAGAATGTTTTTCTAAAGAGTCTAAAATCACTAAAGATCATCACTGATTTTTAACATCATTTTTGCAATAAAATCTAAGACGTCTTTGGTCATCACCAGGTTGTAATCCTTGAACCAGGTGCACTTTAAAAGGATGGTACTTAAAATCTTTGAGAATTCTATGCACAGAACTTTTTGGAATGTCACATTCATTGGCGAGGGTTCTAACAGACACTTGGGATTAAAATTAACATATGCTAGTACATTCATAAGGTTTTGGTTACATCTTACTGTGCGTTCAATTGTACCTCTTTTATTATTAGGAAAATGTCCCTGTCTAAGTGAGCGTTCCAAATTCTTAAAGGTTTTTCGCTAGGAATTTCGATTTGGAAACCTTCTGATATAATTGTCGGAAATTCCCTATTTTTAGGCTTCTCCAAAATCAAAATGATATCAACAACGTACTCGTCAGGCGAAAATAAATAACTTTGATGGTATACAAGGCAAATATCGAACACAGTAATTTATTAAATCTTGCCCAAGTACTTTCGATCAATAGATCATCCTCAGGGGCATCTGAAATAAGCCAAGAAACGTTTTTTTATAAAAAAGGAAAATTAATTCACTTCGATAAACAACTTAAAAATTAATTTAAATTGTACTAAATTTAATCCTATATTTAAAAACTTTATTACAGCTTCACCTCGTAGAGGACCCAGCTCGACTGTTTCGACTTCATGCACTGAGCATTTCGATGTTAATTTTAAAGTTCTTCCATTGACTGTGGATTCAACTGAACTACTGGATTATAACCCATTTATATATTTTGCTTTCAATTTTGATTTTAACTTTTAGTAATTTAACTGCATATTCAGATTTTTCTTTTTTACAGTACTGATAGCGCTTGGTGGACCATTTTATTGTAGTCAACCATCCACTGTCTAATATATTGTTTAGTATTTTTCTTACATTCATACTTTATGTCAACTTCAATTGCTCTCAAACTAACATCCTAATTATTATAGACAGGTTTGAGTGTGAGATTTGGATTACTCAATCTACATAAAAAAATATACTATAAAATTTTATAGGTAGGGAGAAAAGCTTCTAGCTACCCCTTAATTTCAGGTGGCTTAACCACAACCATGTCGATACGAAGGGTTTTGTTCATTACCCAAATAGCCCAAAGTAAAGTTCATAAACCTTTGCTACGTATGTCACACGTAGTAAAGGGGTGGAGGAAAAACCTGGGGGTCAGATAGGTACCGATCCAGAATGATTAGCTCTTCTGGAGCGAGACCGGTTTGATCTTCGGACATGCGGATCCCACTGACTAGCAGTGGTATACACATGTCACTAGGGGTTGGGTTGAACGCTTCGCGTGTGTATGTGTGTGTGTATAATTTTATATTTCATCAGTTGATTTCCTATAGTGGTGTCAGTTGGACCTTTGGTCAATACTTAGTTTCATAGAATTTTGAAAGGTGCAGATCACATATCTATTGTAACTGCCCTTTACAAGCTGTCATTTGTCACATGTCATCTCAATATTTCCGCCAGACCTGGAGCCATTCTGTCTCCGGCTTCTATATAACATGTAGCTTCTCCATTTTAAAAATTTTAAAGTGTTTGTTTGTCTTTGTGTATTGTATTGTTATGTCCAAATTTACATGTATGACATTCTGCTCATGTCGGATAGGCCACAACTGACGAAGTAAGTCTATAAACGTTTATCACATAAAAACTTTTTTCAACCATAAACTTTAGTTTTTTATCGAAGTGAATTAATTTTCCTTTTTTATAAAAAAACGTTTCTTGGCTTATTTCAGATGCCCCTGAGGATGATCTATTGATCGAAAGTACTTGGGCAAGATTTAATTAATTACTGTGTTCGATATTTGCCTTGTATACCATCAAAGTTCAATTATTCGAACATTTAACCTTATATTGGAAAATAAATAAGGCATATTGAAATGTTATAGATACACAATTACAACAAATATAATTATTATTGGTTTAATTCCAAACCATGACCAACCTTGGTCAAAAATAAGAATTGTTGATTTGACAGATCAAATCATGGCAACCTGAATTAAGGGTAATATCCAAGACGTAAAATAACCGCAAAAGTTTTTCAAATATTGTGACTTTATTATAAGAGATTTTGAATGACATGACAAAGAACACAAATTTGGAAAAATTAAAAATAACGTTTAAATAAAGAGTGTGTACTTCGTACGCACGCAGGAAGTTATACTACGTAGTTAAAATAGTAACATTTTCAGTGATAATAAACCATAATATTTTCTTGTCTATTCTATTTTCAAGGCTCCTCCTCCTCCTAAGTGCCTTCTCTATTGAGGTTGGCGATCAATATGGAAAATTTCTCTTTGTTCTGGGCTTGATGGATTAAGTCATTTCCTGTTGTGTGAGTCCAATCTTTGATGTTTCGGAGCCAGGATTTCTTCTTTCTTCTCTATACTCCTTTTACCTCGATTTTGCCTTTCTAATATTACCTGGAGCTGCTCAAATTCCCTTAATGGCGCATTATGTGTCCTAGATATGACGTCTTTCTAATTTTGATTGTATTAACCGATGAGGTCGTGTGGTTCAGTATTTCCAGTACCTCTTCATTTGTAGTTTTGCTGGTCCAGCTTAAATTCTTAGCATTCGGCGGTACATCCACATTTCGAATGAAATTCAGTTTTGTTGACGTCATAGCTGTTTTGGTCTCAACAGCCATATATAATAGTAGTAGAGACCACACACATAACACTTTAGTGTTCTTAACCTTATTGTGATTGATAGCTTGGGGTTACAGAGCATTTTACGCATGTTCATGAAGCCAGATCTTGCTATTTCAATACGTCTTCTAATTTCTTTTGAGGCTTTTTTCTTTTAAATTTTTAAAGGCTATCTTGATTAATTTAACAAAAATAAAAAATAAACTGATATTTTCTTGATACCTTAAAGACCCATTTTTATTTTTAAAAAATCGATTGAATGGACGATAGAAGACCACATGCAAAACTATAAAAAAAATGTACAGGGTGCCATTAAAAAATTTAAGTTAGCGGTGTAACTAAGGATGAATATTTATAGGATAGATTTTTCTTCGTCATATTAAAGTGTATTACAAATGGAATAGACCAGTTTTTGCCCTTTAAAAAATCTCTCTGTTGTTAAGAAATATAGCCTGGATAATTTAGTCTGGGACACTTAATTAACAAAAATAAAAAATAAAATTGATTTCTTGATTATTTACAAACCGATTTTATTCGTAATAAATTGTTGAATAGATGATAGAAGACCACATCCAAAACTATAAAAAATGTACAGGGTGCCATTAAAAAATTTAAGTTAGCGGTGTAACTAAGAGATGAATATTTATAGGATGATGTTTTCTTCGTCATATTAAAGTGTATTACAAATGAATAGACCAGTTTTTGCCCCTATTAAAAAAATCTCTCTTTTGTTAAGAAATATAGCCTGGATAAATTTAGTCTGGGACACTTAATTAACAAAAATAAAAAATAAATTGATTTCTTGATTATTTACAAACCGATTTTATTCGTAATAAATTTGTTGAATAGATGATAGAAGACCACATCCAAAACTATAAAAAAATATACAGGGTGCTATTAAAAAAATTAAAGTTAGGTGTTGTAACTAAGGGATGAATATTTAGGGGATGATTTTTTCTACACCATATTAAAGTGTATTACAAGTAGAATAGATCACTTTTTGACCTATTCAAAAATCTCTATTCGTTTAAGAGATATAGCGTGGGTAAATTAGTCTGGGACACCCTGTATATATTCCAAATATATGTACAGAAATTTTCTAAAAACGCACTTCCGTTTTCTGGTTACAGGTGAAAACTGTTTTATTCTTCGATAAACTTTTGTAAAAGTTAGTTTTGCCTAAAAATTTTATCAATTTATTTACACTATATACAAGGGTAAACATAATTTCCAAATTATTTTATGGCTGTTTTGCACTTTTCTGCTACGTATGCCGCTATCGGAATATGATGAAAAGAAAAACCAGATTTTCTTTATTCTTGTGTATAAACAAAAACATTCTAGATCATCAAATCTAACTAATAACCGAGCTCACCTTGCCGTTTGTTATTCGAGCTCAATTAAGTCTTTAGGCAAAGATCCTCTTGATACGCCGTGTTTAATATTATAGTCGGACAGATTTCAATTAAAGGTGACTAATCTACAAATTGAACTAAACGGTAGCGGCAACCGTGCAAAATGACAGTAGTAAATTCTTACAGGGGTCATTTTTATTGCGTATACTTCGCCCATGTAAATAAGCGAAAAAGTAATATAGTCCTCATAATATTTTCCCCCGTAAACAATATAAATTGGTGCGGTTCACGAGTGTGTAGTCAGACAAGTTTATTGAATAGTTTAAAACATCCGCAAACATATCAATATTTTGCTGGTCTATATATATTTACGTTCTTAGAAAGAATGTTAATGAGTGAAATATGATATTTTAGTTTATGTTTAATTCGATCCAAATTCTAATGTGCATAGGCGTAGCGTTTTCTATTTCGTGGGAATATATTTTATTAAATAGACTTTATTATTAACTTTAAAATAGTTTTGAGGTAAGTAAAGTAAATTTGTGGCAAATTTATTCTTTATATAGTATTAACCGTTAACGGCCGGTCAGTATAC